TAGTACCCAAGATTCTAGAAACTTCCAATATTACTCTTGGATTCTACATAGTGTCATGTGTTCTATAATTACCGATGTGGTTTACACTGTTTATTTTTTCATTAAATGTTATTCTTGAATGTTTTATGTATTAAATGTGTTAAAATAAGGCAAGTAATGGTAATTTATTACACAGGAGATACCGTACTTATATAAACAATAGTATTGTAATAGGGCTAGAGTTAAGGGCCAACTATCACATAGTTTGTGTTACATAAAATCACTGATTAACCACTGTCACACTCTGGTTTTGAAGGATTTTGAAGTCAGCACCGACAGTTACAATGTGACAACCATTTTCAAGAATTCTTTTATTGCACGCTATGTTAAGATTACAAAACCAAACTGCAATGGTGCTTGTGAGATGGCATTCCATGTCCTGGGATGTGAATGTAAGTCCTAAATTCTATACATCTCCATGTTATTTTTAATACATCTTCATTTCAGACTTGAACTATATCACGGTCAGCCCTGGAAATAAAAAAAGAAGAATGATGTGTGCACAGCACAACAAAAATAAGCTAATTTTTTAAAATTAAAATACATTACCGTGGACCAGTCTATGGTCCACCATTTTTAAATCACTGAAAATGGCAACTCAGGGCAAAAAATTCGGCCTATTTGCTCAACTAACATGATTCCTTTTCAACTTTACCCAAACAGTCTAAACAAACAGACATGGCTTATATGAATTTACAGTAAGATAATGATGACAAGAACATCCAATAAGAATAATAGTAAAAATAATATACAAAATTGTTTTTTATTTTAGGGTCACCTGTATGTCTTGATCATTTAGAATTGTCAAACGGATTAACTGAAGCAAACTGTTATTACCCAACTTGTGCTGCTGATGTAGGCAGCATACGTACTGTCACCGGAATCACCACAAGGCTTGATAATTCGGCTGTACCATCATTCAAAATACGGCATTCTGTAGATGGAGAATCTTACCGTGACCTTATAGACAGAAGTGGGGTGGTGGTGGTAAGTTTAATATTAAGATTTTTATGCTGGGAGGTAGACTGTTTTAGAGTTTTTCAGACATTTTTATATGCATATATTTATTTATGTTTTTCGGTATCTTATTTAATAATACAATTAGATTTGGATAATAGTGTTGGTGTTATGTATTTTTAAAATATTATTAGTAGGTACATGAAAAAATTACTGTAAATTTTCCAAGAAACACTGGAAAGGAAAGTTACAGTGTGCCGTATTGAAACATTAAACTGATTATTTAAAAAAAAAAAA